GGGGGTTAACACCTGCAAGCAGCCTATATCTTTTGAATTTAAGATACTCACTGCCTAACTTCAAAAGAGCTCACTATTCCAAATAGAATTTAAAAAATATGACAGTCCTTAATTTTATTTTAAATAAAATCAGTTAAAGTACAGATTAAGATTTATATTTTATTCCTCTATTTGTTGGTGATAATCTATTTATTGAGTGTGGGTAGATGCTTCTCTTAGTAAAACAAGAAGGTCAAGTGATCATTTTAGTACCATCTAACAGGTAGATTTTCTGAATCTCTCCAATTCTGCGTCTTGGGCAGCAAGCCAGAACTGAAAACAGCTCTGTTGAAAACATTTAAAAATAAAACTTGAAAACTTGCAATGTTAAAATTAAGTTTTTTCCCGCACTTGTAATTGATATTTTTATCCAAATACCCTTAAACTGTTTGCCAAAATAATTTTAAAATACATCTTCTAATATAGCTACATGTTCTTAATTAAAATCTTTTTGTTAAATAATAAAGATGATTAAAGTTAATATTATTTTAAAATATCAATTAACAAGTGTGGAAATTTTGTGAAAGGTAAAAATGATAAGATTGTCAGTTTTGTTTCGTTTATTTTCTTTGGGGGGAGACTTGATGAAAAAAATCCATTAAAAAAAAAAAACTAGCTTTTTGCTTATTTGTGCCTAAATTGGTTTTATCCCACTCCTTGAATTAGGAATGGGTCAGTTCTCCACAGACCTCTCACATTTCAGCTGAATACATAATAAGCAAAAGGCTACGTATAAACTCCAGCTTTACTTATGGTTGCAATTAAAAAATGAAATGTACTCCTCTCGTCCATTAACATTGACTTTTCATTGTCATCTGAAAGAAGACAATATGAAATTATCCTACTGAGATTTGGTGAAGTAATTCACATAACTGAAATACTGAGAGGTAGTTAGCCATGTTAGTCTTAAATCAAGCAAAAGGCAAGACAGAGTTGCACCCTGAAGACTGGCTAATTCAGCGATGTATAAGCTTTCATAAACAAGAGCTTGTTTTTCAGATGCTATCTTAGAACTGGAGTATTAACATGGATGGTTATGGCTTGCTGAGGAAAGATGGGCAGGGAGAAATGGAAATTTGCTTTGCATATTAAAAATCTACATGTTTGTTTTGAAGTGCAGAATGAAAGTGGAGGTATATGTGTTAAAAAATCACTGGGTTAAGGTGAAAAGGGAAAAGAGTGAGGTGCCCCAGTTGGTGTCAGCTATAGACATTCAAAATCAGGAGGATCCTTTTCTTTTTTTTCTTTTTTTAAACTAACTAACTGAAGTATTCAAATCACAGGACCTAGTGGATATGGGAGACTTATTACCAAGATGACTCCTGGGATTGTGACACAGTAGTGCACAAGACAGTCTAGCAAGTTCTTACAATTTGCTGGGTAAAACCTTTTCTAGTAATAGTAGAGAAACTGACTGGGGGAAGGCAGTCATTTCTTACTATCAGGCAGGAATTCATTGAATATCTGAAAGTCAGGTCCTTGGCAGATGTTACAAATATGATTCAGTTAATCACTGTTTAAGCAGTAATTAATCAGTTAATCACTTCTTAAGTAGTAACCTGGCCACACATTCATGCAGTTAATGGCACAATAAAACAGGGAATAAGCCACAAATTTATTACACAAAATAATAATGCCTTAAATAATTCCCATCATGCCTTAAACTGAATGCTTGTCCAGATTGATCAACTGACCAATGATCCCAGCCTAGGGTGCATAGGAAGCCATTGGCTCCAGTCACCCCCCGGGGGCTGAGAGCACTAGTCAGCTGATGAGCGCTCCCAGCCTCAGGAGCATACCAAAATCAAGGGCTCCAATGCACTCATGAGGCTGAGAGCCCTCATCAGCTGACTAATACTCTGATCTGGGTGCCCCAGGCAGCTGGCTTGCTCCTTGCCAATGCAGGGGCAGCCTGGAATCATAATAAGGCACAATTGGAACCTGATCCCTGAGCCCACAATTACACCTCCTGTCTTGCATGTGTAGCACAGCAGGAGGCACAATGATTGGAATTGCAGATCATATCGCATCATGTCCTTAACTAAATGTCTGCCAGGGGCCTTAGAGGCAACTTGTGTGGCACTGATCATGAAATAATAGCACTTATGATCCTATATTAAGGAAGAAGGGAAAACAGAAAATTTAAAACATTGGTCTTCAGAGGACTGACTTCCTCTCATTTTAGAGCCATGGACTGACATACTGTATTTAATCAAATAGAAGATGACCTTGATTATAAGGTCACCCCCTAATAATTAGATTCTCTATATGGAAAATTGATGAATTGGTTATCACTTTCCAGGTATAAAATCTAATTATTGGAGATTTGTCTTAAATTTGTCTACCTCCCACTGCTACAGCAAGGAAACTAAATTGGAAGGGGTCAGTTAGCCCTTTTTTTGCTTTCTGCTTCCCCCCCAAGATTTTCCCCTGGCAACCTGTTCCCCCTCTCTCTACTGTCGGACCTTGCTCTCCCTGAGCACATGGAAGTGAGGGGCAAATTTTAAAACAGTAACCTTGAAATTAAACATGGCTGTAACAATTTGCATACCCATGCACTTAGTTTATCGACAATTGATGTGTGTTACCTCTTTTTTTGAAACTTTGAAACTGCTGCAAGTTTTACGCAGGTACTCCATAAACACTTTTGAGCAGCACTTTGGCATCTGCTTATATGTAATATGAATTATGTATGGTATTGGTCCAAAGCCAAAGGCTCATGATTTACTCCATAGTTCACTGAGCTGGGCTCCATCAGTCAACAGCATTTCAAGCCATGGTGACTCCATGACTGAGTACTGTTTGGTATGTGTGTGTATCCCAGATATCTCCCACAAAGGATGTGTGCGCTAATTAGCCCCCTGCTCTCAACCAAAACCAGGTGTTCTTGTCACAAGTCCTAGGATGCTCCAAAAACATATATGTAGGTGAGGCGCAGGGCAACCTGATCTGGCTTCACCCCACGGAGGGTGGGACCACACTAATCATATACACCAGGCGGAGAGAAGGGCTGACAGAGAGATTCTGGGCGAGTATTATGGCTTACCACGACTATAAAGAGAGTTGGCAGGGAGGAGAACTGAAGTCAATGGGCACAGGCTACACTAACCTGTTCTTGTAGTAGGTTCCTAACAGTAATGTTTGCCAAATGTGGGTCATATGTTTTATAGTCATGCTCAGTGTTGGCTGCATTTAATCAGCTTCATAGTTGGCTTCCATTGCTGAGCACATGTTGCTTTGGCAGCAGTTTAATGATAAACAATGTATTTAGTGAGATTTTGTTGTATGTGATTATAAGATGAGGGGGCTTTTTTCCCCCATGCCAATTTGGAGGCGGGCTGAGGGAGGGAGAGGAGAATCTTTGTCTTGTATTTGAATAAATATATTTAAGAATTTAAAAAATGTGTTCATATGCCAAAATATTGGAATGACTGCCACTGAGCCAGTTTTTAGCAGCCAGACACTGGGCGCGTTTACACATGCCCTAGACTGTGCAGTAACCACTATTACTGCACAGCCCTGGTGGTGCACAGGTCACTTGCAACCTTACTGCACAGTAGCAATAAGCTACTATATCACGATTCATGCCTGTCGACACTACAGTGCCATAGCAACAAGCTATGTCTCCACAGCTCATTGCTACAGTGACATAGCATTTCATGTAGACGTGCACACTGTGTCTAAGCTTTATGCCCTCTCTAATAATGAAAATTAAATATAGTAAATAAAAATACCTTCTAAAATATTTTTTCTTTCATTAGGTGACCCTAGTCCAGCAACAGTGGATTGGATAGGAGTCAGCTTGGTCATTGAATATAGTACTGGAACCCCTATGTTAAGTGGAGCTATCACTGTTCCTGAAGATTTCAGTAATTTTATTTCACCAAAACCTATATTTTCTACTGAACTATCTAAGTCCAAACCTTTTACAGAACAGGAAATTGAAGACATAAATGTTATTACTGATCAGCATAGCTTCACAGTGCCTTTCAGTATTCTAGATAGCACTGATAGTCCTGTAAAACCAGAGGACTCCGTTTTACTTCCTCCATCAGATGAATCAGCCAGCAGTGATTTAAGTCCAGAAGAATCTGAACTGCCAACTGTGCAGGTTATCACACTGGCAGCCTATACTGATGGTAGATATACACCACCTAATTTTCTGCAAGACAGTGATCAAAAGAGTGAAGCGGAAAGGAAGAAAGACCAAACTATTAGCGCAGAATCAACTCATAAGGAAGGTGACCAAGATCTTTTTGGACAAGGTAAGTTGTAAAACTTCATCTTTTACATGAAGTTAAAGAGAGCTGCCTTTATTGCACATAAAAAAACCAGTTTAGTGGGTACTCTAGATTTTTCCTTACATTTGCATGTTGAGTTGCATCTGACTGAATGTCTCTATCAAAGTACAAAAAAAAATCCTTCCTGGGTTTGTTTGTTTGTTTTGCTGCCTATTCCAAATGAACTTGTCTTTGAAGATTATTAAAGTGAAAATCACAAATTCTTAAGGTAAGCCAGGATTTTTGTAAGGGATTCTTCCCCCTCATATATAAATTTCTACAACAGAAATCAATACCCTCTGGGATCAGCTCAGCAGGCTCTATGTTCTAAGGCAGGGGCAGGCCGGATCTGACTGGCAGTGGACTCCATTTCCCAGCAGCCCCTGCCTGCATGGCTGGGGCCAGGGTTTCCATGGAGACTGGCCCCAGCAGCACTGGCAGGCAGCAGCAGCAACAGCCTCTTCCTGGTGGGGGGACTGACGGGGGCTGTGCTGCGGGCAGGAGTAGGACGGGCTCAGCTGCCGCTGCCCGTGGAGGGTGGACAGTGGTGGTGGTGGCAGCAGTGCCCCTGAGAAGGGTAGCTATGGGGGGCTATGGGTAATTTTTGGGTGGCTATAAGTTCTGCTAGTGCTGCCCCTGCTGGCAGAGTGGACGGCAGGGTGCAGAGCTGCTCTGGAGCCCAGCTGGGATCTTGCAATCCAGTGACAGAGCGATCCAGACCAGTGCAGAGCCAGTGCACCCCTTGAGAGTGTGGCCTGTCAGGCCACGCTCCCTGTTTAGGCAGTGGGCAGGGGGGCAGGCAGGAGCGCTGGTGACCTCCCTGCAAGTGCCAGCTGGGGAGCCGTGGGACTTCTGGAAGCAGCATGGCTGCTTTTTGGTGAGTGGGATCAGCTGCAGGGAATGCAGCCTCCCCCCCCCCGCCCCCGACTCAAGAGGCACCAGTTGCCCATGGACAGAGCCATGATCTACAGCCTACACGATCTGGGCAGCGCCATGCAGGCAGTGGATCATGGCTCTGCCCCTGTTCCTGTCCACGCTCCAGCCTCACACTATCACAGCATGGCGGCTACTGAGGTCTCCATGGAAACTGGTCCCAGCCACACGGGCAGGGGCTGCTGGGAAATAGAGTCCGGCCACCGGTCAGAGGCACCATTTTGCTCACCCCTGTTCTAGGGGGCAAGAAATGCTTCTCCTCATGAATCAACTGTAAAATATACTTGAAATTGGAGTCTGTAATGACAAAATTGCCATTAATAAAAGTTTTTGCAAACACATTGTCCCTTTTGCTTATGCTGAGAAGCACTTTTCCTCTTTCAAAACTCTCAGATTGCTGAGCTGATCAAAAATATAGTTCCCATTTAAATAGTAGTAACAACATCAGCAGAAAATTATAACATTTACAGATGAAAATCTGGATTCATTTCTCATTCACTTACTGATTTGTGGACCCTGTATCACAAATCTACATGGTATGCCTGGATTTTGCATTTTGCTAAGTAAGTGGAAAATACTGTAGCCAGATAGCTTCCTATTTGCTACTTTTCTAAAGCAGCAAAGCAGCATTATTTCTTCAAAATACAGAATATCTTATGCTGAAGAAATTTGTTCCACTTTTCAAACCTCAGATGATGAAGAATTTGTTCAATGTGTTGAAATACATTTATTACCAAATATATGTACCCCAGGTTGTCTTCTTTGGAAGAATCATCCAGCTGCAGTGTAGAACCATAGCTCCCTGGTGGAGTCTGCTATCTCAGCACCACAATGGGAAATTTTAATTCCATTTTAATTCCATATGCTTAAATGATGCTGAGTAACAATATATCTCTCACGTAATAGTTCATATTATGCACTAACTTTTATAATGAAAAAAGAATAGATCCAAACTGAAGTGAAAGACAGCAGAAAAGGAAAAGAAATAATTTGCTAATTTAGTTTTATTATACAAATTCTTCCCAGATAACATGGAACCATGATTTTTTTCATTAATGTTGTTTTAGCTAGTTATATTATCTTGCTCATGAAAAAATATTATGGAATTTTTAAAATTGTGGATGGATGTAGATTTTGCCCTCAGTATAGCAATGTTACCTTTGAGTTGTGTGCTTCAGTAGTATTTGCAAGTGCTGTGCACCTTGTGGGAATGAGCCATTTATGCACAGTAGAACTGAAAGTTGTAGTAAAGCTTATCCAGTTTTGGCTTCTCATTCCCACCCAGCTTTGACATTGGCTATGTTAGAGCCTAAAAGTCCACAAAAAGCTAGTTGTCAGGGGTATTTTTCGAAATATGAGGTGTAATACTTGTCATTCCTGTTTATCTGTCTACTGTATTCAAGGACAGAGTCTTGTCTAATGGTGGACTATGTTATAAAGACTCCAAATCAGAGATTCTGAAAGCATCTCTGCTGAAGATAGAGAGATTGTATAGGGAACAAAATTGAAAAGCTTTTGCCCTTTTCACTACTTCTGACAATTCCAGCAGTATTCCATCTGCACAGTATTCTTTGGAGTTTGTTTCCTCCAGTTATTCATACTTATTATAGTATTTTATTTATATTTGAAATATTTAAAAATGTACAGCTTTTATGTCATGAATGTTCTTAAAGACTATGTTGCTGATGATAGTCTGCAAAAAGAAGGCAAAAAGAATTGGTGGGGGGCATGTTTAGAAGCTCCTGTCTTTCTACCCCAAACATGGTTGCATTTCAGTTATGGACGTGTTCGAAAGAGGTAGAAAAGCCCTTCAGGATTGTTTTGATGTAAGATTGCTTTATCTCTTACTAACTATTGATCAGATATTCAAATGAGTGGAGAAAAACACAGGGATAGGTTCCAAATGACAGACTACATCTTTGGTAAACCCAAAGCAAGGGTTTTTCAAGTGTACCCAAGACAGGACTCTGCTTTACAATCCTCAACTTCGTGTAGTTTCTTCTTAGTCAACCCACAGGGTTCAACTCATCCTCCCAGCATTCCACAGTGAGAGACAAAGCGGGCCCAAAGAGAGACCTCACTGTTAAATCCTTAGCGATCCTCTTGCCCCATAGCCATAGGTACAAGAGCCACCAGCAAAATCTAAGCATTCTTGTGAGCTGCCTTTAGTTCTGACAGTTCCTATAAAGTACTGGATATTCATGACCTATGTGCTACACCAATCAAGCTAACTGTACCTGCCTGACATTGTGAGGAAAAATTATTTTTGTCCCTGGTAGGAGTAAAATCCTTCTTGATCCCCAAAGGGGATGATCAGTCAGACCCATGGACTCCTAAAATCCTAATGAATAATTTATTAAATAAATAGCAGTTCCTATGCTATGGATAGAGGGCAGGACATGGAAGCTAGAAACACCCAGAAACAAGCAAATATTTCTAGTTTTCCCCTCCTTTGAAATTTGGACAATCAACTTGCCTACTTTTTCTAGCTAGTCAAAGGGAGGAAGGGGCCTATACTTTCCATTTCACTCCCATCTTCCTCCTTCTGTGGATTCTTCCTCACCTGCAATCTAATCAAGTCTCTCACCCAGTGAGACAGACTGTCAATTAATAATTCTCTTTCCCTTTGATATCTGTCTCTCTCCTTTCAAACCAACTGACCTTTTAAGAACTTTCTTCATAGCGCACGTTTGTCTATGCAACTTGCTGTGCAGCAGGCATAACCCTTGCTGTCCATTGATTTAATCTCCTCTTCTATATCCTTTTTATGACATCCTTATTACCATATCCCAACAAATTTTACTTACTACTCTCTGCATTTGCTCATAACTAACTCTGTGGAAATTCAAGATCCTGATTTTTCCCTTCTTTGATTTATCTTTTACTCTAACTTATAAATCCAACTATATTATATTTCCTATTACTGAGGCTGCTCAAGTCCATGAGTAGTCCAAGTGAGAGCTAAGTTAGGCATAGTGCTGAAATACCTGTTAAATGAGGACTGCAATCAACTCAAAACACACTTCAGTTCTACGTCCCTCCCTTACATACTGTCATGGGATGCTCTACAGTGGCCATGGACAGGTGTTCTTTTCTAGCAGAATGAAATTCTTACCACAAAGAAATAGTCCAGGAGCTGTAGTGTACATGCCAGGTGAGCTCTTTAGCCAGGGGACACAGGAAGACTCCTTCATAGATGATTCATAGATGCTAGGGTCAGAACGGACCTCAACAGATCATCAAGTCCAACCTCCTGCCTGGGCAGGAAAGAGTGCTGGGATCAGATGACCCCAGTCAGATGCCTAGCTAGATGCCTATCCAGCCTTCTCGTAAAGACACCCAAAGTAGGGGAGAGCATCACCACCCTTGGAAGCCCATTCCAAATTTTGGCCACCCTTACCGTGAAGAAGTTTTTCCTGATGTCTAGCCTAAATCTGCTCTCTGTCACTTTGTGACTTGTTCCTTGTTACCCCAAGAGGTGCCCTGGTGAACAGTGCATCTCTGATTCCTTGCTGTGCCCCGCTAATTAATTTGTAGGTGGACACTAAATCACCTCTCTACCCTCTCTTGCAAAGGCTGAAGAGGTCCAGGTCCCTTAGTCTCTCCTCATAGGGCTTGGCCTGTAAACCCTAAACCATACAAGTGGCCCTCCTCTGGACTCTCTCAAGGCTATCCACCATCCTTCTTAAAGTACGGCAGCCTGGGCTACTTCCCTTACTTGACAGCCTGTCTTCACCCCTGCCTGAGAAGGGGCAGGCTGTCAAATGGCAGTTGGCAGCTGCTGAAAAGAGGTTTCATCCCATGAAGAATTTCCTCCCTGCCCTGTCCCCTTCCCACCAAGCAACTATTACTGGGATGGGGAGCCATTCATCCCAGCAGGAACCCTCCCATTTCCCCCAGCAGGAAAACATCTCCCACCACGAGGTCACCTGCAGCTGTAACCAGGGGAGTACAGAAGACAGGGGACCATTCTCCTGCAGTGGCAATGCTCTCCTAGCCTGTCACCCCCTCCCACGCTCCTGAGTGGACCCAGGCTGGGGGCGACATTCTCC